ATAATAAATTCCTAAACTATAATTGATATATTAGTTAAAAAAAGTGAACAATTCTCTGTATAATATTTATGATTCTTTGTAATATGATTAGGACCAGGAGCCAAACATATATTTCACACATTTGTAATTTAACACACACTTTGGAATGCACAATGCACAATCGATGTCAATAGCAGTACTGGAAAACACATGTAACATGCAATTAGAAGCATTTCTAATGCATGGCAATCTGTCTCTTCCATAGTAACCTTAATATTTAATGGACTGACAGAACCCAACAAGTAGCGCAAAATGCTTTAACAGATACATTAATGCACATGATGATCGAAAACATGCATAAAAATGCATAATGTTGCACATGGAAAGGTGTGAATCTTACCCTACTGATAGGTAATTTCAGCTTTTAACAAAAAAAGATTAGATGCTTTTATGGTGTCAGGTTATGACAAGTTTAGGATGGACAAAAAATGCCTTACTTTGTCCTTTGTCACTCCTCTGTGTCTTCCCTATCAACCACAGAACCTCAATAAAGGTACACATTCTAATTTTAGCATTAGAAGTTCAGTGTTTGGATTCTCTTGTTACCTTGAATTGGTTTTTGCTGTGCATCTTTAAGCTTTTGCTTTCAAGAAGTATTAGCTGCCCCTGCCATCTGTTGTTCAGCCTGAATAATACAAGGCAACAATCAACAATATTCATTCAAGATATTAATAAATGTAATAGATGATGGGAATTTAAACCAAATTCCTCCGTGATGGGTTTAGTAGATTTTACTTACATCATAAATGTCCTTAATTTCCATTTAAGCTGAGTATTATTCCATGTTTATTCAAGTATTGATAAATTGATGCAAATTGATACATTGATGTATTCTAAAATGTATATTATATCTATGGTGTAATGATTCAGTTTATAAAACACACTGCCCTGTTTCAGGTTACTAATTGTGCATCGTCTAGTGTAAAGAACCAAAGAGATCTACTTACTTATAGTTATATAGTCATAAAAATAAAAGGTAGATATTGTCTCTTCATGTATACACTGCATGTTTTATTCACTGCACACTCGATTGTAATCTAACAACATGGGCATTTCAATTTTATGCGACGTGCTTGGCTTATTTTACTGCATATTGAAAGTAAAAAGGCTTGTGTTAAGGGTTTCCAGTAAGACATGAGGAAATGGTCACACGGTAGATTCTATTATGTTCTTCGCCAGTTTTCACTTATACATTTATTTTTACATATATTGTAAAGCAGAAGTCATGCTAGGAAAATGCTACACCTTGGGAGATAATTTTATTGCGCATTTTCTAAGTTGAATTTTATGCTTTGGGTAACCAATTACAGCCTACTGGCTTTTCTTTCCAAATCACAGTGAATGTCTTGTGTCACAGTTTTAACTACACATTCTCTAGGCCTCTGATTTCATGCAGCCACTTAAATGTGATGGATAATTGAGCTCTGCTTATAAATGTTTAATTTAAGGTCTGTTCTTCCTGACCCATATGCCCTCTATGAGTGCCATGCCTTGTTATTGATTTCATGCCCGCACCTGTGGCATTACCTACCTCACACAACAGACATGAGCCACTCAGATATAACATGGTGAAGACTAATTAGGTAAACAGAATTGTTATAAATTAGCTATGTGCCAGCTTTGCCATGCATTCAAATAATTGGAAGAAGCGTGAGAAGAAATCTCAGAGAACAAAATGCATTAATTCTTTTTTTTACCTAGTAACATGGCCAAAGGTATGCCCTTTACAGTTACAATTATTAGAAATATTTTACTTGGTGGTCTCAGCCACAGTAATTGTAGGCAGGTTACACCAGCATCTACAATTATTACAGAGTTGCTCAGCCGTACATCGGGTGGCTTCGGGGCGGCCAAACATGCTCAGCATGTTCGGCCGACCTGAAGTGCAGAAGGAGTTCGACTCAGCCGATCCAACATCTGGATCGGCTGAGCCGAACCTGCGGCAGGCTAGTCACTGTTGTTTGGCCTATTCCCATAGATACCGAACAGCAGTGAGTGAATAGCGGAATGCCGCTGAGCAGCTGAGCAGCAGCTCCGCCGGGTTCTCAGTGTACTGAAGAGCCACAGTGTAATGACAGAAGGCGTCTCTGGTTACCTGGTAACCAGGGACGCCTTCTGTCATTACACACAGAACTCAGCGGAGCTGCTGTGATTTTACAGCAGCTCCGACGGGTTCTCAGTGTAATGCTAGAACGACGCTGATCTCTCTGCAAGTGGCCGGAGCCAGCCGTGAGAAGACAGCTGGCTCCGCCCAGCTGTCAGAAGCAGACTGTCGGCCTGCTACGAAGCTACGGCTCGATCCTTCGGTAGCTTTGTGAATAGACCCCATAATTTTTCAACATACCGTAATCTCCTTGCTTTTCAATACACTTTGTCCATCTGTTAACAAGCTTTTGTATTCCCTCATTTAAAAAAATGTTTTAGGCATAGCTGCGAGCCACGAATGCACCATTGTCATCACTTCTTCATCAGAGGTAAATCTTCATCTTCGTACGGCTGCTTTCAGGGAACCAAACAGGGGAAAGTCTGATGGAGCAAGATCAGGACAATAGGTGTACACTTAATGTTGTCATCAGCCATGGATGTGGACAGGAGTCCAGCTCCTTCTTGATGGCTAACACTTGTGCGACCTTCCTTGAACTTCACTATCCATTCATACACACTTTTTCACAACAAAATACTATCTACATACTGCGCACAAAGTATTTGATAAATAATGGCACCAGACACACCCTCAGACCACAAAAAAACTAATCTCTGCACGCTGCTCTTCTTTTGTGCAAATCACAAGTGGTAGAATCCATTTTTTCATGCACCACAGTTACAAATGAACTCATGTGACACATTCACACCTGTGCAGCAGTGACTGGGGAGACAGTAGCCTTGAATGGAAATTGCTGATAAGACAGCGCGGCCATCAAAAGTATTAATATAACCGGAGTGCGGATAATTTTTGACTCACCCTCGTATGTATATATATATGCACCATATAATTAGTATAGGGTAGAAATCTTAGCCAAAATACCACCAATGCTATTAAGTATATTTAAGTTGCAGTTAATTTGAGGTTTAAAATGTGTTAGATGACTCTTCTAGTACTAAGATGCAAGTAACCTAAGAGTACTTCTATGGGAAGTTTATAAGACAGTATTTAGGATGTCTGTGAAGGTTCTCATTCATCCAGGTCATGGTATATCTGTATTGTGATTCTGAATTGAGAACGCTGGTTGGATGACCAGTGAAACGTCTTCAAGAAAAATACAGCAAGTCCAGTTGCCTTGACTTTTTTTTTTTACAGATATAGTATTTAGGATGTTTTTTTCCTTCAGAGTGAAGCTGATTTACCCATTGTTTCTGAAAAGAATACACTATATTTAGCTTATTCAATAAAAAGTTCAATAAGCTAACCACAAATTCCGAAGGGCATGAATCCATAACTGCCAATCAGAATTCTCTTTACCGTATCTGGTCTAAGACAAGGTAAATCATGCTGGCTGCACTTTGCTCATTGTGATGATTTATTGAATAAATCTTTAAATGTATTTATTTTAAGTTGAACCTCTGAAGTATCAAGCTACCCAATAATACCCAGAGTCCCAACAAACATGCCTTAACTTGTGAAAATGTACATTCTCCACCCATTTTCCTCCAAACCCCTCTTATGAATACAAAAGCCATTTTGCTTTTGAGGCAGGCAAGGTACCCATTCTTCTCTTCCATATTATTGACTTTAGTAAACCTCCAGTCATATTACCTTCTTGACATTTCTGTTTTATAATCTAGCTAATCCCATGTTTTTCTTCAATTACAAATCTATTTTAGAGTTTTAGGCCGCTTATGTACCAAGCACGTAATCCTACTAAGTACATTTTTTATGCATTAAGGTAGCTACAGACTTCAGATGGTAGTCAGTATGTGCAGGTATGATCTGATTATCAAGAGGTGTCATTTTTTCCAGTTTATTACATAAACCTGTATGCTCAGGTTGCGCAAGAATTGCTCAAGAATGAGTATATGTGTGTTGATGCTATGGAATAGGGACCTAAACCTGGGTAACTGGTGATGAAGATGCAAGTTTTTTAAATTTGACTGGTTGATTTCTTTTTGCCCTGAGATTGTCTGAGACCACAAACAGCCAGAGACAAAAATCTTGTGTCTATGGTTATCTATAGTCACTGGCTGTATCTGTAAGAACAGAGATGTTCTCAGAGAAATAATGAAGTGGTCATGTTGTATTATTGCTTATGAACTATACTGCTTGTCAAAATTAGACTGGTGGCAGAGGAATCTGCTCAATTTTTAGATATGCATCTGTAGGTAATGTAGCCATCAGTCTGAGAGGTACTCGCTTGTTTAAAAGTAATCTTACAAATATAGCTAGCTTTAGATAGAAGGGTTCACTCCATGATTCTCCAGAAAGAAAGATAAAGTAACTCTGAGTATGGTATGAAGACTAATATACTGATTTACTTTTTTTCACACTGGAAAAAGAGAGAAATAACAAAAGTATCTAAGTTCCATAAGCAAAAAAAAACCCAACACACTAGTAAAGCAAATTCAATTGTTTGTTCTTTCATCAATGTATGTAATCCCTTTTGTTTCCATCCTGATTTTAGCTTTTTCCTCAGTAAAACCGATACAAGCTCTCAGTTTCTATTTCAGCATGGCAGTTGGTAAACAATCTGAAAAGTATGTGCTTTGCAGGCTCTCATTCCAGCATGCAGTTTAATGTATTTTTTCCAATTATCTTTCCTCATACACCCCCCATAACACATTTTCAACAATATTGCAGAGCACAAAAATAATGTCTTCTCCTGCCAAGTATATCAAGATATCTTGATATTCACACTGTGCAGTGATGACAAATGCATTGGCAGGGCTCAGAGCTCTCAGGGAGATGTAAAAACATGCCTGGCATTTGTGAGACTTCTCATGGTGATTTGCTGTGTTTGATTCTCTAGGTCGTGATTTGGCAAGCACAACCCTCCCTGGGTACCCTCCGCACGTCCCCCCTGCCGGACAGGGCAGCTATTCTGCTCCAACACTGACAGGAATGGTGCCTGGTGAGTATTCAGTAACACATGTACAACATAAGATGCACTGCAAAATCTGTTTAAAAATATGTAAAAAAAACCTTTGCTACAATTCAAATGGATGCTGCTCAATTTATGAATACTGCAAAGCCTTTTTTTTTTTAAATCCAGTTTTCATTTCAGATAAAAATGCAGTAGTAAAATAGGAAGTCCTCTGGATTTCACAGCATTTTAACAATTTCTTGTATTTTTTTGCCTTACAATGTAATCAATGAAAGAATAACATTCACTCAAAACTAAACTCCAGGCAAACATCTAAATACAGATTTGAAATACATACATGTGAACTGTCCAATCTGCCAAAATATTTGGCTTTTATGATATATACACCTCTGCTAGATGGCACAGCAAAGAGGATGACCATTTTTTTTTAAAGTTAAGGAATACAGTGGGGTCACCCTGCTGTCTGCAGACTGATGTTTGGGCAAGAAGAGAGCAACACCGAATGGATGAGTCATCGCCCTGCACACACGTGCAATAAAATGTCTCTACTTTTACATGTCAGATTTCAGTAGTATCAAAGACTGCCTTTTCTGAGTTAGCAGAGAATTGTCTGTGATCCAAAATTAAGCATTTTCCATTAATCAACCACATGTTTAATTATTAAATAAAGGTCCCAAACCCTTCAACAACTCCTTTTGCAACAATGTCTTTTCATCTATTAAGTGCATGTTAAATACATATAGCTAATTGAATAAGAGTTAATAGATGCATGCTGTATGCATGAATCCTATGTATATGGTTTTAAATGAGTGGTGTGTACTGCTACTGTTACACTGTATGAAAAAGAATATTTAAATTAGGCATTATCAGCCTTACCCTAGGAGCTCATCTAGTTTATTTAGTAGATCAAAAATCAAATAATTTTGAAATTACACTTCAAATAGAATTTATGAAAGATGTTTATATCGTATTGATCTTTCAGAATCAAGCACTTTATGTAGGTAAAAGAAACTGAAAGGGAAGCAAGGATATTTTATAAATGCAATATGAAGTAATCGCACAGATTTTGAATTATTACAGAAGTACATTATACTGATTTCAAGCTGAAGTCTTTGACACAAGCTCAAAGCTCATCAACATAGGCCCATAGGCCTATGATCTCCTGGTACGAAACTTTGCAACAGATAATGGGTTTGCCTAAGAAAAATGTATACAGGGAAGCATAATGGCAAAGCATACTGAGAAATAGATTTTAGGTTTACATACACTTTAACTGCTTTCCACCCCTTGTTTAAATATCACCATGTTGCCAATATTCTGATATATCAGGTATTCCCATTTCTTTTCACCAAATTATGTATACAGACAGTTGTAGGATGCTTCATCACATTATGATGTTTCATCAGATTATGTTGTCCTCTGATACCCTTCACTCTCCTCCTCGCTGATAGTGCTTCCCTAAAATCCTATACCAGGACTCCTGCACACTATTCCTGGTAACCACTGCACCCCTCCTCATCCTTCCCCATAAGCCCCCTTCTCAATTCTCCCAGGCTGCCTGATCTCTGCTTAGCCCATGCCACTGTCAGTCAGGATGCTAGGTGGCCCTTACTCATCCCTGGCTGACAGATTTCGGCAATCTTCAACATAGTGGTGACAGATTAAATAAAACTAGGAAAAAGGTATATACTGCCTGTATTACAGTCACTATGTTTGTTAGATAGCATTAGCTTGTCCAGGACCTGATTTACTAGTAGGCACAGTAGCCATGTGCCTATAGGTGGTAGAGGAAAAGAGATGGCTTTTCTCAGTGTAGTTACTGAAATATATAATTTTTAATCCATCATAAGTAAAAATACAGCCATATCATAGAAATGTATTTAAACGTTATATATTAATATTTGAAGCCAGGTAAGGGCCAGTAAAATTAGAAAATGCTCTTTGTAAAGGGGTGACCTTAAAACTGGGTATGGCTTTGGGCACCAAAGGTTGTGTGCCTACCGGCTCTGTTTATGGAAATCTGGCCCTTAGTTTGTCACTAATTGAATTAGAGTTCCCATAATCTATTCCTATACTGCGTGATCTGAAAGATAGTATTGCGAACAAGGGGCGGAAATACCACCGGTGCAGCTGGTGCGGCCACACAGGGGCCTAAGGCTGTGGGGGGGCCCAGTGGGGTCCGGTCCTGGGCACCCCCCAGTAGAATATGGGGCAGTGCAGGGTACCAGTGTAGAACACCGGGACCCCGCACTGCCGATGGGCTTCTCAGTGAGGGCGTGGGTCCTGTGACTCACCTCCCCTCCCACCTGCGTCCCTAGTAACAGGGAGAGGAGAAGTGAGTCACAGGACCCACCCCCTGCAGTGCACACAACGTCTGTCTGAGGACTGAGGCTCTGGCTTGGCTGAGTCGGAGCGGCTGGGGGGAGGCAAGGGTTGTGTGCTGTAATGTCATTTAATTAAAAAAGTGGATTATAATGGGGAATGTTGCACTGTAATATTCCCTATTATAATCTATTTATCGGATTTAAAGATTACATACAGGGCCGCTGTTCTATCAAAGTTTGTGACTACGTTAGAATGTGTGACCGGTGACGTGTTCACACATTTTAACGTAACCCGCCCAGTTTTTCGGCGGTGGAATGTGTGACCACCAATAGGTGAAGAATTCCATCACTTTCTCAGCTGTTCCAGGGCAGATCGGCATCGCAGATGGTATGTGCAGCAGAACCGATCTGCCCTGGAACAGCTGATCGGTCCTGAAATGTTACTTCTATCCGACTCTGTGAGTGCGGTGGAATGTGAGATCGCAGCCACAGAGTCAGATAGAAGTGACATTTCTGGACCAATCAGCTGTTTCAGGGAAGATTGGTTCTCCTGCACATATGATCTGCGATACCGATCTGTCCTGGAACAGCTGAGAAAGCGTTGGAATGACTGACCTGTTGGCGGTCACACATTCCACCGCCGAAAAACTGGGCGGGATCACATTAAAATGTGTGACCACGTCACCGGTCACACATTGTAACGTAGTCACAAACTTTGATAGAACACATAGCCATCAGGGGGGTACAGCCGGTACCCATGTGAGGGGTCTGGGCAGCCTGGTGGGACTTAAACATGGGTATCAGCTGTATCAGGGGCGACGTGGCAGAGGTGGCGGAAAGGGGCAGAGAAGGCTGGGCCCCAGCAGCAGCAGGTAAGAATATTTGGGATGGAAAGGGACCCTGGCGACCAGCTCACCTGAGGGCCTGCAGAGCCCACAATAGACAGTCTCAGGTGGGCTATGCAGGATCTATGGTGTGCTCTGCAGGGTCTCAGGTAAGTCCAGAGTCCAGCGCGCTACTGCAACATTAGAGACCACGGGGAGGGGGGATTTGGGGCCAGTGTGATCCGCTCCTGTGCCCCCCCCCCTGCCTTGGGAGGGGGGCCTAAGATAAAATCTTGCACCAGAGCCCTTTAGTTATTAGGTCCGCCATTGTTGAGAACTTATACTTGTGAGATGCTAGAGCTGATGGTCATGTAAGATTTAAATGCAGTTAAATTTTTAAACACTGGCAAGTTCAAATATTTGCAAACTATTCTATTGGTTATCACTGGCAAGAACACAATTTCAGATATACAGTATAAGAGCAAAAACCAACAAAAGAAATAATTCTGCTTTCTTTAGAACTTTCACCTTTATTTAAAAAAACTAAGTGAAAGTGAAGTGAAACACTGTGTTCACCTAAAGTATTTAAGCAAAATACAGTATGTAAAAACAGAAGGTCCTGTGTGAAGAGTGAAGAACGAATAACAGAATAACAGTGCATTGCTCCACTCTTTGGAAATTTCTATGCATTTGTAATAACAGAATTACCATAATTTGCTCGTTAACGCAGCTAGATCAGTCAAGCATTGTTCTAAACATGCAGAGGCTGTTCCTTGCTCCAGATCTGCCAGCGTGCTAAGCACAGTGAAAATTAGCATGCAAATGGTCCTAATTCAGCAGCCGAGCTGTCAGACCCATATTCACTGCCATGTTTCCTTTGAGATTCTGACAGAAGTGGCCCAGAAAACCCACCCTTCAGGATTCTCATCTAAAGAAGCCACAGGGGACACTTTATGAATGACAGCTCAGCTTGTATCAGTCAACTATGTGAGTGTTGTTATCTCTACATGAGGGTATTGTTGTGCAGTTAAATAAATTGACCCTCTGTTTTTTCAGCTTTCTCCCCGATGTATTAGAAGTGTTAGTTATATTGCCACTGTCTGCCACTGATGGAGTATATGAAAATTATATTCAAACTGGTGTTCAGATATAACAGATTTTTAAGGTCAACCATCTCAATTTTTGGTTACCTGAAACTCTGGCATTCATGTGTTTGCTACTTTTTTTTCTTATTACTATATAAATATGTATAAACGTAAGAACATATATAAATACATACACACTTAAAGTTCCCCACCCCAGTCTACATTTTATATTGAAGCAGTCGGGGTGCTGTCAAGAATAAAATATAAAAATGGTTTCTGTGTATTTTATTCATATTAAACATGTTCAGCGGCTGAAGGGTTTTACTTAGGGTCAGGACTATCTGTCCATCCATCAGGCAACAGTTTTGGATGATGCTGCAACCTTTGTCAAACTGTGCTGTCACTTAAGCTAGCCATACATGGACAGGTCTGTTAGCTTACGTACGGACAATCCTTGTATGCCCAGAGACACATATAAATGCACCCATGAACTAGTTTGAATTACAGTATCAAATACGGGTGCCTGCAAAAGATACAAGCAGGTTTTCAGTTTAAAAAAAGTGCAAAAGATCATTGGCATGCTCAACATGCAGTTACCAATAGCATCTAATTAGAAAAAAAACTAAACTACTACTACTCTTTCCATATTTCAGTTTCCTGCTGGTTTGCATTGTGAGTAAACCTACAGGAGTTAAGAAAAAGCCTAGAATGACATGTCTTTGGCACTGTCGTGGGAAACTTTGGGGGTCCCATTCCTTCTGAGCTTTGGTAGGCTTCTATTGCTATACCATTAT